GAAATCAAATGATAAAAACCAAACAAACGAACAACTCTGCATCCAACTTTGGTAAGACCTTAGAATGATAATGTACTAAATATTGAAAAGAATAAAGACTTTAATACCTTAAAAATATATATATTAATGTTTTTTTTGCCACTTACTCTATTGCATATTGTCTTTATACTAGTTTTTTTTTGCCAATTACTGGCCAGTATCTACTATTCTGCATGGAGCTAATTGTAGTGTAATATATGTTGAATGAACATTTGTTGATTTTTCATAGCATATATTAAAGAACATAAAATAATTATAACCCATTTGGTACAGAGTGAAGGTTAATCTTTTTCTTACCTCTATACTTTTCTTTACTGTTTCTTCAGGAAAGGAGACTGAAAAGGCCAAGGATCGATATGATAAAGCCACAATGAAGCTTCATATTTTGCATAATCAGTATGTATTGGCATTGAAAGGGGCACAGCTTCATCAGAATCAGTATTATGAAACCACACTTCCTCTGCTCCTGGATTCCTTACAGAAGATGCAAGAAGAAATGATAAAATCATTGTAAGATAAATTTTGTTTTTCACAAAATGATTTCAACATTCTTTTCTGATGTAGTTAATCCTTTGTATAAAGGTTATCTGTATTTCATTAGCTTGGCTATTGACTTAGCCTAAACAGCATTCCAGACCTCTTCTACCTTCCTTGTTCTTAATTTTTACTTCTAATGACCTTTCAGTTTGTACTTATGGAATGCACTCCTTTTGATGTAATTTTGTTTTGCCCTAATTACATGGAAAGTTAAATGGAAAAAAAAATAAGAGTTGGTAAACATTAAGTAATTCTATGCCTGCAGAGAGTTGGGCATTTAGATCTTAAATGCTTGAGAAGTGCCAAGGAAGAACATCTTTGAAGGTTTATTTACCAGCCCTTTGTTCTCTTTTTCTTTGTGAGATTAAAATCAACGAGTAATTATTGAAGTTGTATTATGTACAGATTGCCCAGTCTAATGTTTGGAATGTAGTAATGAACAAGCTGCAGGTTTTACCTCCAAGAAGCCAACAGTCTACCTTGATTGTTCAGACAATGCAAATGTATTTATCATATACATTTATACTAGATGAGAGAGCTCCGATGACATCATCTTTAGTGAGTTAAACTGCTAACCAAAGGATGCACATCTCCAGCAGATCAAATTTACCAGCAGATCAATGTACTATGGAAAAAAGAAACAATGCTTTGGTGAACTCCATCTTCTGTTTCAGCTGATTTCAGCTGATTTTTTTAAAGGACTAGACTCACTTTTCACTGAAAAGGAAATTGATGACATCCTTGAGTGTTAGAATTGCTGCAGAAGAGGAGTAGGAACTAAAGAAGAAAGAAAGAAATGGAGTATGATTGAAGGAGAGTTAGAGGAGAAGAATTATGTGGTTGATTTTTATCTCCTAGGTGAATATAAATTTGATTTTATCTTCCTGGTGAATCTATACATGAATAGTGAATTACTAAAAATCTTAAGCCAATCAAAAGCAGCCTCCTAAAATATACTTTCTCTGTAATGACATAATTTAACAAATGAGCTCCTACTTTAGAATACCCTGGAATGGAGCAGGAAATTAATATGACAGATTATTATGAGCCTTTTTCAGGTTATAAGAAAGACTTGGATATTGAGTGGTATGTACCTAAACAACAATTTGTAAAACAAAACAAAAACAAAAACAAAAAGTACCATCTCACTAATACAACACTTTACTCAATGCTTTCATTTACATTTGCTCACTTCTTGTAGTAATCTCCAGAATTAGAAAGAGCAAGATTTTATTATCTGGGTTCTATCTGTTGCAGACAAAAACTGGCATAGATTATAAAGAGAGGAAAGATCTAGGTGTTGTGTTCTAAAGAACTCAGATTGCTTTTCATGAGAGGGAGATTCAAGAAGAAGAGTTATATTAACCTTTTCATTTTATTTGTAATTTAAGTACTCACCAGAATTGGGTCCCTTGACTTACACTTTTGGTTTTCCCCTGTTTTATCCATTTTTTAAATGAAATTAATTTATTTATTTTTCATTTCAATGAGTATCTACAGAGATTTTGGAATTCCATTCCATTTTTATGAAAACATGCTTTGCCATTTATATAATCATCTCTATAAAAAACATCTTCAAATATGAACCTAAAAACCATATAAGAACAGACCATTGTCCAACCTGTTTTAAAACTGCTAAGTTATTTTTAAAAACAACGTTTTATGACACTATTTTTACTTCATAATATATTGTTGTTGTTGTTATGTGCCGTCGAGTCGTTTGCGACTCATAGTGACCCTGTTTTACAACAGCCCTAAACCCTGCTCTACCCTGTGCCAATCACATTGCCTCTGACACACCCATTCCGATTACC